TGTTATTCCATCCAATTAATTTATATTATCATTCAGATTCACCTTTTAGTGTTACACACACAATTATTATATTATTCATATAAATTATGATATGAATAAAAACAATGGTTTGTGACTTATTAAAAAGAAACAGTTAATTCATAATAATTATGTTATAAATATATTTTAAAATAAATCATAAAAATAAATGATTATGCAATGTTTTGACTTAAAATTCACCGTTGAAAATGTTAATTGATGAACGTATATTTTTGCAATATAAATGTAATACTTAATCATATTTAAGTTGTTTAGCGAACAGAAAGGAAACAGTTAATCTCTGCGAATTAATAGTGCTAAATTAGTTTCAATTGCATTTATGGGTAGAAGAAGAAAACAACAAGGACAAAAACCGATTACAATCAGCTCGAAAAGTTGTTGTTGTACTTCTCAACTTGTTAAAAATCTATATCGAGACAGGATTGATCCAATTGGGTTGATTCTTTTCATAACAAATGGGTCGATCATGATGACGTGTTAAGTTGAACTAGGAGCGGTTCGCGAGTTTGTGTGCTTAGATAAACTTGCAAACCTACATTCACACAAAACAAACTCACACATGCACATACATGTGTGTATACGAAGGAAGTTTATCCAGGTTATCCCGTTAGGATTATTGCTGGGCTAACATAAGATAGTAATCGGTTATCAGCAATCGCCTAATCTTCTCTACAAGCATCCTTCTTTCGATCAAACTTGTATTTAGACTCCACCTTAAACTATTTTACTTTTATTCTGATCAACTATCTCTATCTATGATTCTTTTATTGCATAATAACATGTTAGATAGAACAACAATTTTCATTCTCAACGTAGAATTATCATTGCATTGACTTTTCTCGAATGGATTCGTACAAAAATCTATGATTAAGAAATCCTATTTTTGATCATTCCTATTGAATAAAAGCTTACGTTCTAATGCACGATCTTTATCGATCACGTTTACACGAACTCTAAGTTTATTCGTAGAATTACTGTCCTCGATAAACAATCCAACGTAATGAATGCGTGTCTATGAATAAGAACTCAAGAATTTAACTTATTCTGATACTTAATTGATGAATGCAGTTATTATTAATATTCATACTAAAAATTCAACACTAATTTTTATTACGTTTATCATCATTATTAATTGTAACTGAAGATAGGAAGAGTTAAAATGATAATGTATTTCTTAAAAATTTGATGGTATTTTAAAATATTAATATATGTATATTTAAATTTATACATTGAGGAATCTTCGTGAGTCATTAATGTTAAAGTACAACTTTTAAAGGAAACAAGAAAAAATTCAAGATCAAAATCATAAATATACAAATTCCTGTTCAATATTTTTTCGCGTATCTTTTAAAGGAGATAATCGAGTTGGGTTTGATGAAAGATCGAAAATATAGGACGAGTTGTTAGTATCGGGCAATATCGTGACGCCTACGTAATTTTTTTCTTTCTTTCTTTCTTTTTATCAGTGGACTTGATGCAGTTCGTAACGAGAGAAGCTCGGCTTCGTTTCGATGCACATACTCAGTGTGTATGTGTGTATGTGTGTGTGATAGTAAGTGTCCCGTTATATAGTAATACCCGCGGCGATGTTAATGAGATAAATTGGAGTCACAAATGAACCGTAAAAGGTCCGATAACCCCTTAGAAAGGAGTCGTTCTTTCACCTCCACTAAATTTTAGCGAATGTTTCATTTTTCCTTTTTGTTTTAATTTTATATTCCTAATTTGAAAAGTCATCCCTTAGAAAATGTATAAAAGGTGGTATCATATTGGATGAGCCAATTAGAGAACTGATATTCAAAATAATTTATTGCTTATTAAGTGCAGTTGCATCAAAAAATGTTATAATAAATTATTTGACATTTTAAAGGATATTTGAGATTTTAATTTTATTATTTAAATCTTATATTTGATATTTAACTTATGTTACTGAATTGGTTTTTATTTCATCTACATTGACTTGATATTTAAAAAAAATGTGTATTGAATAATGACTTAACCTTCAAATTATTTATTGTTTTATATTATGTATATAATTGCAGTATATTAATTAATTTAACTACAACTTTTTATTATAACTACAATTGTATACAGTTTTAAATGATGAATAAGGATTCAATAGAATTATGTAAAAATAAAAAAACGCTAAGCAATATTCCAACATTTGTTTTTCTTTTTAATAGAAACAATGACTCATAAAAACGTACCCTTTTATAGTAGTTCCTTCGTAAACCCTATCGTATAAGTTGGCACGAGGTATATCGAGAACATCATAGTCATCCTTTTTACTACCATCTCCAATATCGAAATCATGGTATCTTAACGTCATCGCGTTCGTGAAATCTGGCTCGTTTTTACTCATCTTCTTTTTTTTTACGATTTAATTACAAGAAATTTAGGTTAAATCGCAATACAAATGTCCAAGAATTTTTGTATACGATAAGAAAGAAAAATTAATATAAAAATTACCCTGTTAATTACTTCGATAAGCCCGAGAATTTCTTTAATATCTTTTCAACAAATTTAAATACTATTCTTAGTTTAAAAAAACGAGTATGAAAGGAAAAGACATTAACTTGAACGAAGAGCAATCACGATTTTTCATTGTTTTTCTCAAAACTGCAATTCAGTTTTATTTCTAGTGTTATTATTAGTGCCATAACTAATGCTAATATTTGTAAAATTTATCATTATATATGTTTTAAAAAAATATGTACATATATATCAAAGAACAACATTTATATAATCGAAGAATTATTTTATAATTATAATAATAACAATGGTACAAATTATATATAAAATTTATGATTTATTTTTGATAATAACATTGATTTATTTTTACATAGATATACTTCACTAGTTTTAATCTTATTAGTCCATTGTAAATAGTTAGTAAAATAATTCGAAAAAATGTCTTTATTGTGATGGTTAAAATGATTTCGTTAAATTAAATTCTAACGAAAATATTAGAAGGTTAAAATTATGTGTTGGAATAACGGTAAGATTGTGTGTTTGAAATTCTTGACCGCGAAGGGGCCAGGCCATATTTCTTATTAACTCACCATTTACAGTATGTGTAGATAACTTTAGAAGAAACAAGTATTTTATTTTTTCCTTTATCGATACAACAAAAATCTTTTCCTTGTACGTTTTTTTTTCTTTTTTTTTCTTAACGAAAACTTGTACCAAGGCAAAAGGTTCGCACGAAGAAATGAATACAACGAAAACATAATATGTGCTGAGAAACATAATAAGAATCGTAAATCGCAACAACGATTTTATGAACGAACGTTAATTCTCTAGTTTTCTTCTTCTTATTTTTTTACTATGTTTTACCAATTCCAACCGCAGTTAGTCTCATAGAAGATATAATAAAAACCGGTTTATGCAACTTATTTATATGCACTTATAATTCCTTACTTCTATCACTCGTAGGTGTTTTTGTTTATTCAATTCGATTATTTTTATACGATTCTACACGCGTTAAATTGTAGTAACTTTATTCGAATAATCGTTAACATCGAAGGTCAATATTAATTATTTCTTAATCAATAGGTTACATCGATGCATTGAACATCGTGAAATAAACTTTACTAGGCTTCTTTTAAACGTTTGTAAAATTTATCCTTCAGAGAAGAAGGCAAATTCATGTTAAAACAATTTACGACAGCTGAATGTAATTTTTGATGAAGCATTCTTTTTAAACTAATAACAGTACCTACCTTATAAAAGAAAAATATATACAGTTGCTTTATTATTAAATTATAATTGTGAAATAAAAATGAAGTTTCGTTGAATAAAATGTAGGAAAATCACGTACAATTCTATGTTTACAAATGAAGCAAAAAATTTTGTCGAGTATCACAAATAATTTCCAGTGGAGATAACGAACCAATAATTAACATATCTTATACATAAATAGCTAATTTACTCGTGTACTTTTTTTTCAAGGAACTTACACGTTCGTATAAGTTTTACTGTGTCATGTTTATTACATTTTTTACTCGAAGGTTTTTTTCTTTATTCCAGGGACATGTTCGAGAACATAAAAGCAGCACGCATGTACTGTTTTATTTGATAAAATACTGTATCTATAAATATTAAAGATGATAGAGAAGAAAAATTTATTAATTTTTTAGTAATTATAAATTCAATGATTTATCATAAAATATAATTTAAATAATAATTTAATGCTGGGGGCTCTACATTTTTGTGACAAGATTTGAATTAAATTAACAATTGTTCTCCGATAATTTTGTAAAAAATAAGACTTAAAATTCTGTAAATAAATAAATATTATTATTATTTTTATTGTATAATATTATAATATTATAATATAAAAAATTAATATATAATTATATTATTATTATTTATTACTTTAATGATTTTCAAGAATCCGACATAAATAGGGATCCTATAGGAGGGATGCGCCATATACATTGCTGGGGGACCGGAACTCGATTTTGCGCGCGAATAATTCAAACATTGAAATAATTATGAAATAATGAATTGCATCAAATACAGAAAAAAAATGAACTATATTTAATGATAATTAAAAATTTATATTAAAATAGAATAGGTTAGACGAAAAAATTATTATAAATTCAATAAGAAAGACTTAATTAAGTTTGATTTGATAAAAGGCATTACAGTATTTTGAAATTTCAAAACAATTTGTAGGAATTTATACAATTTTGATAAATATAATTATCTACTATAAATATTATATTATTATTAATAATAATAATAATAATAATAATAATAATAATAATAATAATAATAAGACAAATATATAAAACAATTAACAAATAGATTTATTTTAACATATTTTTATTTCTCAATGGTCTGGTACATGGTCATAGTTTTACTCGAACTGAGATTTGTTTGCTTAAAATTTTGTAAATTTTTGCGATTATACCTACGCGATGGTATAAGGTATTTACGGTCTTGCGTAGTTCTTGTTGAACTTTTGCAGTAATTAAGAATACACTGTCGAACCATGATTATTCATCACAAACAATAAGTCTGTAAACAAACGATAAGTTATAGGTTAGGTTTGTACATTTATACTTGTAACTATTAAATGAGTAAATTAAACTTACACTTATAGAAAACTACTAAAAAAAAAAAAAAATAATTAAACATAAATATCACAATAAAAACTGTAAGTATTCCAAACTTAAACTAACCACAGCCGTTAATATATACTAAAGATAAACATGGCTGCGCGTTGGATCGGAAGCGGTTCCCCAAAATTTTCAGCCAATGGCACATGAGCTGATTATGAATGGCGCATCCCTCCTACAGGATCCCTAGACAGAAACAGATCGCAGCGCCATTGTCGATAAATTCCACGTATATAGAGGTCTGTTTTATCCTTTAAGTTGATGTCAGCACCATCGCTCAATAAACATTTTATTTCTTGTAGTTGCAGCGAGAGAAGCAGATAGTATTTATTTGATAAAATTATAAAAGTATAATAATTAAAGAAACTATGGCGAATCCAAATTTGACTGATATGACGGAAGAAGATGCAGCGGATTTGCAATTTCCCAAAGGTATGCGTATAATTTGTTAACATAAATATTATTAAAGTAAGTAAACTTAACCTCAAAGGTTAGTTTTTTTTGTTAACATAAATATTATTAAAGTAAGTACACCTAACCTCAAAGGTTAGTTTCTTCTCCTATAATAAGTGGAAATAAATAATGGAAAGAGGTGTATGTACGCGTGAACATGACTGATCTAAAGTAAGGTTTGAAATTTTACTCTTTCAGACTTCTCGTCTAATAGAAAAGAAAGTCATGGACACAACTTAGAACTCGTAGAAGTATCGCTCGTGAAGGATGAAATCCTTACTTCAGATCCAACGTGTTACGCGTGCAAAAGTAATCTAAAAGAGCCGTATGTGAGATGTGCTGTATGTACCAACGTGGAATTGTGTCCGTCTTGTTTTTCTAAGGGCTGTGAAATAGGTGATCATAAAAATGATCACGATTATGTTATCACTAAGAATGAATTTGAATTGATAAATGGTAGCGGTTGGACTGCTAAACAAGAATTGGAATTGCTCAGTGTAATACAAGAATGTGGATTTGGTAATTGGATTGATGTATCTAAAAGAATAGAAGGCAAAACTATGGAAGAATGTAAGGCTCATTATTTAGAACATTTTATAGATAATCAAAGTTTACCTGGATTACCGAAAATCAAAGAAACCAAAGCAAGTTTATTTGCATCCGAGCCAATTCCATATTTATTTAAATTACACGATTTGGAAGAACCCCCAAGATTTGCTTCGGATTCCCTTAATTGTAGAATGTTAGCTGGATATAATCCTGCGAGATCAGACTTTGAAGTAAATTTTGATAATCACGCGGAACATATTGTTTCTCAGTTAAATTATAACGAATTTGATACGGACGATGAGAAAATTAACAAGCTAGGACAATCTTTACAAGTAGCCATAGTTCAAGCCTATAACAATAGATTGAGGGAACGTAAAAGACGATGGAAAATTATTCGAAATCACGGATTGATTTCAATCAGAAGAACGATTTCTTGGTTGCAGAGATACGAATTTACGATAACGCGTGCAATCGCTGAAAGATTGTTGATTTTTATGCAGCTCACCGGGGGAATGGATTTCGATTATTTTATGGAAGGTCTTCATCGCAGTGGCGAACTTAAAAACCACATTCACAATCTTATCGATCTTAGGAGCAATGGAATTAAATATTTTTATAGTGTGCCGACTTATAAGAAATTATTGAAACTGCGTCAGGAAAATGAGAGAGAGAGAAAACATTATTTAAATAATCCGGAATATAGTTGGAAGAAAATATTACCGGAAAATGGTATTATGAATTTTAATTTTCCAATAGCACATAATACCTCTCAGAGAAGATCGGCACCACCTCTCGTAATTAATGGCCTACCTGGTTACGAAAAACTTACGAGTGAAGAAAGATCATTGTGTTCGGTTACCAGAATTGTACCTATGAGCTATTTGGATTACAAACATATTTTAATTACGGAAAATAAGAAATATGGTTCCCTGCGTTTGGCTCAGGCTCGCGTTCTACTTAAAATCGATGTTAATAAAACACGAAAGATTTATGATTTTTTGGCAGACGAAGGATACATTAATAAACCTATTTAACAATAATATATTCAATTAAATTGCGTAAGTGATTTTTTCTGTTAAGTTAATTATTGTATTTCTTTCCATAGTTATGTTAAATTGGAATTCTGTAGTTAATCAATTAGGTGTGTTTGACGAGTATTATAGTCATGAAGAAATTGTAATATTTTGTGTTATTGGTACATCTTTGTTGAAATAATTTAAGTAAATATTTTTTTATAAGGTCACTACAGCAAATGTTAATCAATTTTCTGCATGACAAGTATACTCGCCAATCACAGCTAATTGATTAAACCAAAATGATATTTAATGTTAATAAAATGCACGCGCTTGATATCTCGACCCACCTCTGTCCATATATATTATTTATTTAATAATTATTTTTATCATTATTATTGCTAAATATAATTTCGATTTGGATAAGTATTTGCAGGAATAAAATAATTTATTTGTTTAGAATTCGAGAACGCGGAAACGCTGTTAATATCGGAAGTGTACATGCTACTGGAACATAGAAAAGCACAAAACGAATCAGCAGAAGAAGAACAAGAATTTTCCGAAGTTTTTATGAAGAGTTTAACTTATACGAATCGATTTGGACGATTTAAAAATAAAGAAACCATCGCATCGGTCAGAAGGTATTAAAATTTTCAAATATAATTTTTTCTCAACTTACTTTCATAAAATAAAACTTTTAATGAGTTTACTCAATATTTTCTTCCATCGTATTTGTTATATATTTATATATACATAGAAATATTTGTATATATATATATATATATTTGTATTTATTAATTATGTTGTACAGCTTGTTATTGCAAAAGAAACTTCATAAATTCGAGCTCGCTTCCTTGGCAAACTTGTGTCCGGAAACTCCGGAAGAAGCGAAAGCTTTAATTCCAAGTCTTGAAGGACGACTTGAAGATGAGGAATTACGAACAATCCTTGAGGATATTCAAACAAAGAGATCTTTACAGTACTGACTATCATTTCAATTGATTTATATTTTACGATTGAACGCAGTCCTATAATTATTTGATACTTTTCAAATATCTTATATTTGTTTTAAGATTATCTTACTATATTCTTTTAGCAATAAAATATTCATCGAATTATAATGCATTCATATATATTTAATTTTTATTTTTAACACATTAATGTCGTTTATGAACAAATGTCGAGTTGAGTTGAGAATTGTTAATTGTTAGACTAATTAATTAATTTCAATTTATTTGAAATGTAAAATATTAAGCAAAAATCAAAGATTTAAGAATTTGTAGATATTGTAAAACTGAAATTAATTACTTCACTCTCTGAACGGCTCAAATATAAAATTTTGATTTAACAACGAGGATAATATATTAATTTTATTCTTGATCGAAGTAAACACATACAATTAGTGTATAGATATACAATTATGACAATGAACAGTCAATAAATTGATTAATCTTATAAGAAAACTATTTGTACTCTAACAGAAAAAATAAAATTCATTAGCAAGAATTTTGAGTCTAAAAACATTGTTGTAATAACCAGCACAATTGCGTCGATTTGCGAGAGTATAGGAGCAAAGTATCGTCGCAAAAGAAGACAACTAATAATTTCAGGGAACGACAACCGCATATTAGCAGTCAGGTAATTGCGTATGGTTGACTTTGCACGTTTCAGAGCAACCTCTTATTATCATCATCCTAAGAAGTTCTTGAGCAATCATACTAACGACATCCCGTCACAATGTTCCTTATACTTTCTTTTTCTACTCGAAGCATTTTAGTTTAAATAAGAATCAAATTTTTACCGAAGAACATTGTAATGCGTAACACGCCTTAATGAGTACCTTCTGACCACTGTACTACGCTCTGAAACACTTCATGTTATCTTTATACATTTTTATCAAATTACTTTACTTTCTTTCTTTCAATCGTTTTTTCATTATTTGTGCTTTAAAAAAAATATAAGAAGAAAATAGAAATACCTATCCTTCCTTACTAAATTTTGAAATAAAATTGCACGATTGATCTGTATAATAATTTGTAAGAAGTAATAACAATTTTATAATAATAAATTGTAGCTGTCCGTTTTTGTAAAATGTCGTTTGAAAAATTTGATACGCAGTATACATATTTAAGAGTATTTTTTTTTCTTTTTTTTTTTTATATAGCTTTATTTGATGTCGCATCAACCATCGGGGATTATTAGTGACATAGTATTTTTTGTTACGGAATTGGAAGTGGAAGGTAAAGATGGAAACTGCGAGATCGGCAGCATTTCTTTTGATTTAATCGTTGTGTTACGCCATCTTTACTAACTCATTACTTCAGTGACATTTGATAAAGGAGACTTTAACGCATGCAAACGTTACTTTATCCTAATTAGATGTTTTTTTTACGTAAGCATAATCGTCCCATAGAATATTAAATAAAAAAACAAAAAATTTGATAAAATTTTAGATGACGTAGAAAGTAGCATCGTTATCGTCGGTACGTATACGCCATACTTTAACTGGATTGCTCTTAAACGGAAAGCTTTTAAGATAATTATGTTGATTGTTAATCGACTATAAACTCGATGCAATTACCATTGATTTTATCGGGAATTGAAAAGGTTCCTGCTAAGATAACAAAACTTTCTCGATTTCGAGGGAAATATTATCTAAATGAGACTATTCGAGTGTACTGGACCTTCCAAGATGCAAACATTTCGGGTCTTATCTTGGGGTACCTGAAACAGAAAATGAAACCCAATTAGAAACAAAATTATTTCCAATTTAAAAATATCTTTTATTTTCCTCTCTCATAGATTAAAACATTTAATTAAACAATAAAACATAATAGTGCCTGAATATTCTTTGTTACGTGAATATAACTACATCAAATTGTACATTTTATTAAGAAATGTTTCGATGTTTCTGATAGTACATATGAACAATTTCTCGTAACGTTAAAAGTCGGAAAATTCTATTTGAAAATTGCCAATTTGATCGCATTGAAAAAGTTTTTCATGCTAAAAACGTCGAGGACATTGCCATAAAGCGCAACAAGTTTTGCATCTGGACTGGTAGGGTTTAGCGGCCAATCGATGGAATCAATTTGCATAATGTATACGTGCGAAAGTGTACGTTCCACAATGGCTCTCTCTAGTGGAGGCGCTTTCTGTTGACGATATCTGACGATAACTGGCGATATCAATGTGCATATGTATAAGTAAATGTTACACATTTACAGATAGGTGGATGATAATGTTGAAAATTGTGATAACTATGCGCGATCGTCATTAACATATATCTTTCAATACTTTTTTCAAATTATATAACGATACAATAATCGGTTAGACTAATAATATGATTCAGCTATTGTTGGGATTAAACTTATACTTGCGTTCTCTCGGCAATGTAAAATTAAACAAAATAGAATCGAGGACGTTATTCTTTGTGTATCGTTCGCAAGAGTTTTGTAAACAATTTGGAATAATTGTCTCCCCATCGTGATTATACGCATGCTACAAAAGATAACAATAACTTTCTTGATTATTATCGACAGGCCGCAAAAAGTAGATATGGCAAAATAATAAGAAAATTCTTGTAGTTAATTCAATGGGGGTTGAAAATTTGAAGAAAAATTGTTAACGTCTAAAAAAAAAAAGGAAAGAAAGAAATCAAAGATAGTATTAGGTGGACCGGAAAGTAACGTCGCTTTCTAACCTTACATTCACACGAATAAATTTCTAACAAATTTATATTTTTAATCAATAATATAATCAACTTTGTTATGAACAACCTTTCTTCATCTAGTATGCAAATTTTTAATATCAAATTGATAAAAATCAATCGGTTTTTGATAAAAATATACAAAATTTGACATATGTAGAAACGACATTATTTTCCGGTCCACCTAATATAAAGAAAAAACAAGAAAAGAAAAAGAATGAACAAAAAACCCCGAGAAAATAGGTTCGTTAGGAATAGGAAGGGTCGAGAAAAAAGAGGGGTAGTGAGAGTTGTATGAAAAGTGTAGGATGATTCCGGAAGGTAGTGAGATGGGTAAAAGTAGTAAAAGTGTTGCGCATCTGCGCAACATGCGCTAAAATGCACTGCTGCTGCTGGTCGAACTACGATTGAGCGGGGTTGGCGCGGGCGCTGCACTAGTAGTCGTCAAACCGAATTTCACCGAATGAATCCGAAGTAAGCCGGCCGGGAAGCTGAGCGATTGGTTAGTTGTCATAAACCGAAGTAACCCGATGTTTACCGAATTCAAAGCCGAGTGAGGGGGCTAAATGAGCGCGCGCAAAGCGCCAGGCAGCGAGTAAGTCTCTTCGCGGATAGAGGCGCACACACAGCTCAAAATATATTCAGTGTATTGCAAAGGAGCGCAAAAGACGTGTGTCGCTATTCCGCGTTTCGCTCTTGCCTTAGCTTACATTCGTTTGCGCGCGCCTCTTCTCATCTCTTCTTTTTTTTTTTTTCTTTCATCGGTCGCGGTGAACGCGACGAAAACGTTTCGATATTTTTTGATTTTCTTTTTCTTTTTTTTTCTCTCTCTCTCTCTTTTTCTTTTTCCTCCCTTTTATCTCTCGAAAATATATTTTATTTAGAATTTTATGACACGGAAAACGTGTCTTTTATTTTAGTGGGGAAAAAAAGAGACATTCAAAATTGAACGAGTTTTTTATTGTTAAAAAAGTAAAAAAAAAAAAAAAACAAGAGGAACGGATAATTTTTTTTTGTCCTTTTTTCTATCCCTTTCCTATTACCTTCTTCCTACCCCATCTTCTCGTTTTTATCTCTATTCTCCTTTTCTATCCTTTTATAACTTTTCTTTGACGTAGAAACGTCGAAGAGGAAGAAGAAGAAGAACAAGAAGAAAAAGAAGAAGAAGAAAAAGAAAAAGAAGAAGAAAAAGAAAAAGAAGAAGAAAAAGAAAAAGAAGATTCTAAGGGATCACCAAGAGGATACAACATCCTTTTAAAAGAGTACCGCGTGCCGGAGAGATTTTCTTTCTCTCTCTCTCTCTCCCTCTCACCCTTTCTTCCTTTATCTCTATTTCATTCTCTATTTCTTTATTTTCTGTCGATCGTGAGTCGAGTTGTAAACGCCATCCACTTTTTTCTTCGCTAGAGAGGATTTTTATGTGAAATAAAAAAAAAGTTAGAGAAAAGAGGAGAAGAAGAAAAAGAAGAAGAGGAAGAAGAAGAAGAAGAGGAAGAAGAAGAAGAAGAAGTAGAGGAAGAAGAAGAAGAAGAAGTAGAGGAAGAAGAAGAAGAAGAAGTAGAGGAAGAAGAAGAAGAAGAAGTAGAGGAAGAAGAAGAAGAAAAAGAAGTTGGAGGAGGTGAAGAAGGAGGTGGAGGTGGGGGAGGAGGAGGAGGAGGAGGAGGTTATCGCTCGTGACTAGAAAGGAGGAAAGAGGATCGACGATCGGAGCTTTTCCCACGAGAGAGATCGGTGAGTCTCCGTCAGCAATGTCGTCGTGATACCGAATGAAATGGCCGAAGGTCGAGATGAGAGAGTGCAAGAGAGAGAGAAAGAGAGAGAGTAAGTGTGAGAGAGTTCCCTATCTTTTTCTTTCTCTCTCTCTTTTTGTCTTTTTTTCTTACTGACTCTTTTACGAGAAAGAGAGAGGAGAGGAGAGAGGAGGTCGTTTACTTCGGCCGCGACGCGACGCTTCCCGCAAATTCGCATCGGTGATTTCTAACAGACTCCCCAAGTGCATCTTTTGCTTTGATTTTTTGTTCGTTGCATATCTTTTTTAGGTTGTCTCTCTCTTTCTTTCTTTCTCATAGAAAATTGATGATTATTTATCATTGGAACTTGGTTCACTTATTTTGAAATAAACGAACCTAAAATCTATCTAAATTATTCATTTTCACGTAATAATTTCATTAATTTGCACATACAATTGATTAGAATAGACAAAAGAATAATTATATTTAAATAATTAAATTTAACGAGGTAGATTATTTCGTATAGAGATAAAGTATTTCCATCAGACAGTCACAACGTGTATCTTTTGCTTTGATTTTTTTCATTGCATATCTTTTTTTAGGTTGTCTCTCTTTCTCGTAGACAAATTTTGATCATTTATAATTGAAATTTGGTTCTCTTACGTTCAAATAAACGAACCTAAAATCTACCTTAATTATTCATTGTTATGCAATAATTTTATTAGTCGAAGTATTTTTACTTCATTCAAATTTGTCAAAAAACATAATTTAACTGATTTCGTGCATCTTTATAAATTATAAAAAAGATTGTAAATGAGTCTAACCGCTATTGACCCGTCTGTTAATTAATTATGCTAATGTAGTCATTATTTGTATGGTTCGAGTAAACTATTCAATTTTCGTTCTTTATTTCTAACATTTACTCAATAATCCAATATTTCTGTACGTCTGTTTGGATTTGATTAAATTTATTTTTTATAAACAAGATAACAACTGCGATATTCCCTTAACGATAGTAAAACAACGGTCGTTGACATAGAAATAGAATTCATTGAAACGTTATAGATTCGTGTCAAATGTTCCGATAACGTGAAACACAGATGCATAGACTTGTCATTATCGGTACACCCGTATTTTCTTCCTCATTTATATACCTAATCAAAAACGTTATAAATTGTTTTTTGTTATAAATTTTACGAATGACAAGTGCAAACAGACTCGATTTAATATTTGTTCGGAGACAAAATTTCTTCGTATTTGAGTGCAACAATTAAACCGTTGTTTGTTCATATATTCTATCGAACATTCTCTCTTAAAATGTTTTCAAATAATTTTACGAATGACGTTTAGTTTTTTTTTATCGATATCACGATTGAAAAAGTACCAATTTTGTTCGATTTTTGTCCACAAATTTAATCGATTTTTCCAGATATTGGTCGATCAGACCGAGATACAATTTTCACATTAAAAATTTTCAGATTGAATACTCTCGAATCAACTTTATACGATTCGGAACAATACTAAATTGTGTTCATATATACCACTAATATTGTTTAATAGCTTTAGTCATATTCTTCTCTTTATTTTTTTTTCCTAATCAAATTTCCAAATTTATCAAATTTCTTTTCTTTACTTACCCTCATTTTGAAAACATAGTAACTTTTGATCGTACAAATGAACAGAGTAAACCATTTTTTCTATTTTAAGGAATTTTATGATATGTCAGCTTTAAAATACACTATTGACAGTATAAAGTATTGGCCGATCCTATTAGTATTACCAAAGTTATGCGATCTTAAAAGTCATATAGAAAGAAAATACGAATGAACTTGTTTCCCCAAGGAGATAGATAAAAACTAACAAGTAAATTCAAGCAGATGATTATTGTGAAAAGAAAAAGATCGTTCGTCATCGGTAATGTAAAGAAACATAACGAAAAGAAAACACCAAATGGCATCCCAGTGGTATCGTATTTGCGGCATCGCATTATCTCTATCGTAATATATTACGTTGCTGGTATTAGATCGCGATGTGTTCACGTTGCAAGGCATACTTTGTTCTACGTGTTATGGAAAGCTCGAGTTTCTTGTTCGAACAGATGCAGTGAGGGAAAGAGAAATAGAGAGAGAGAGAGAATGAGATAATTCATGATGGGTTACTTCGATCACACTTTCATTACGCGGGCAGAACTTTGATCTGAAATAAGATACATCAGTGATAACAAATTTTGACGTCAAAAAGTTTACTTTACTCGAGTAGTTGATATTAATTTTTCTATATACACGGTGTACCCAATCAAAATTACCCATTTCAATCAAATCCTTCCGTTTGTTTGCATACAAAAATGATATCTGACCAAATTTTGTTCATATTTTAATAATGGATAAGAATATTTTTAGAATTTTTATATCGATGATTTAAGTAATAGAAAAAAAATATAAAAAAAGTAAAGTATTTTATTAATGAAATTGTAAAAATTATTTGGAATAAAATAGAGGTTTAATATATAGCTCTAGCAATACTGAAGACATGAATGAATAATAGTGGTGATTTTTTGTATTTATTTATTCACCATAAATTTATCTAGAATATATATTTATTTCAATTGACAAAAAGCATTTATACGTCATTAACTTTGAATTTGTTGAACTTTGAATAGATTAACGCATAAAAGATTTCTTTTTTTTGAATCTCCTAGAAGAATTTTTTCTATCCATTTTGTATTCTTTATGGATAGTGATCTCTAGTTTCTATTGACACCTATGATAATTTCGCATTTATCTTGTTACAAGCTTCCATTCACATGTTAACACTACATTATTATTATTATTATTATTATTATTATTATTATTATTATTATTATATGAATGTTTAAATTAACTTGTGACATTGTTAAACCCGTTCGAGGTCAAATTATTTCTAAGATTTTTCGTTTCATCTTTCTCTTTTCTATTTCTCTCTCTTATGTTTTAAATCCTTTTTTTTCTCTCTGACGCTTTGGCATAGTGTACGTGAAAAAATATAAAAACAGGTAGGAAAAAAGGTGCATTCACTGTTTTTTTTTTTTCGTGATAAATTCGAAACGAAAAGCTTTTTTTTTCGCCTTTTCTCTTTTCCGATCATTCATAGATTCGTTGGTATATGCTTCGTGTTTTTTTTATCCTAGATAAACAAAAGTAACTTGCAACCGGTTGAATATGTTCTAGAACGAGAGAAAACTTGAAAACTCGTTTGCCATTTGCTATGAACAAATTTGTCAATGTAACTCGAAATACCAGACAATATTATTAGATATCATTTCTTTTACTTTTCAAATATTATTTCATAACTTTGACTTTAAATAAAAATTGTTAGATTAAAATTATGGTATTGATATATATATATAATAATATATAATTATAATATAAATATATAATATATAATATATAATATATAATATATAATATATAATATATAATATATAATATATAATAATATTTATTAATAATTATTAATAATGATTTAGAAATGATCATATAATAACGATTCAAATGATCTAATCATTAAGACATAATTAATTATTATTGTATTAAAAATAAAATTGTTCGCGTACGTAGGATTGGCCTTAAACGGATAAGGGATTATTGATTTTCGAAGAAATAATGGGACAAAAAATTACTTATGTATTATAGTATATAAGTATAGTATATAAGTAAAGTATATAGTCATGTTATCCAAGAAAACATGAGGCTAACGATATCAACGACCCGTAGATATGTATATCGAGTCCAAAGAAACGGAAAGAAGAGCATTTGATGATGCGTATGAGAAAGAAAGAGAGAGAGAGAGAGAGAAAAGTGAAAAAAGTGAAAAAAGTGATAGCAAAGAGAGAAGGAACATGACCGTGGAGAGGATCTCAAAGTGCCTAGTTATTTGCTACTAGACGTTTTTTCTTTTTATTTTTCTTACTCCTATGGTCTTGAAAATCTTACTTGATACTACGAAAAAAAAAAAATAAAATAAAACAATAAAGCTTACGTGTTATTAAACAACGACAAAAATTAAATTGTTTCTTAAGAAATCATGTTTTACAATAGTCCACTTCATGTGATAAGATTTTAGAATTTTAATCATTTTTAGACAACTCATAAGTATTTCTAATCTTCCTTTACTATTCTTGACTCATACGAATTTAAAATTCTAACTAGGTTCTTAAAAAAAAGACAATATGAAGTTTACTTATAGTTCAACGACTAAAACTTGAATCGTGTTTTAAAAAAATCATGTTCATCAAATTTTTGAAAATTGTTTCTAAAGGTGATAGAGATTATATGAATTTTCTTTTTTTTTTATTCATCACATAAATCACGATTCGCGTACAAATAAATGTAATATTTGTATTTGCCGATTGAATGGCATTTACAGATACGGAAGAATTAATGATGCAAGTAAAAAGGTTTAAAAGAGGGAAAGAGAGAGACAGAGAGAGAGAGAGAGAGAGAGAGAGAGAGTGTGTGTGTGTGTGTAATGTAAGTAGTATTTATTTTAAAACATCAGCAAATCAAAGTCGAATTTTAATGGACATTAGTAAAAGAGAGAAAGAGAGAGAGAGAGAGGACATAATCCATTTTGTATCATGTACAAATATTGACAGTACTTTGGTATTATTTGAATTTCTAGATAGCTCTTTGAGCCATTATATACCAAAATATATTTATTTATATACATTGGTGTGTGTTTGTGTGTGTGTTTGAATATGAGGGACATTTTATGATAATAATTATTAATTTATTTTAACTAAAGTATCGTACGATCGAAATAGTATGATCGATATTATAGAAGAAAAAATATAAAATCCTAGAGACTAAAGACAAATTTCTTTGAAAACTGGCAAATATCGTATCGATATGTTTCGATACGTTTCGATACGTGTATCGATACGTTTCTAATCTCGTGAACGATGAAATATATGTCAGCCTTATCGGTCAACATCTATCGAATGATATAAGCCGGGACTCTGAA